ATCCAACATCAAAGTTTAAATTATTTATAAATATCTTCAAAAATGCACTGGAGTTGGAAGATGCAGTTTTCATAATACTTTAAGAAGAGTTTATCCAAATATTGGTCTAAAACAACAAAGATCACCCCCAATTAGCACATTAGAATATGGAATATCGGGGTATTGTCAGGTTTGGACAGAATTCAGATGCTACCAAACTGAAGTAAAATAGCTTTATTAGCAAAAGGAGAATGCAAAATTAAGGTAAACCATCCCAAAGTCAGAAGTCAAATCAAGAAAACAGTAACCATGAGGGCAGTCCAAAAAACAGAGTCCAAATTCAACAATACTAAGAGAGCTAGTCTAAAGATGAGGTCAAAAACAAACAAAGCAATGGTCATACACGGAAAAGTGAACACACTGACTGGAAGGCTCTGTGTAACAAAGGCAATACCTCACAAAGTGCAAACAAACTGAGGGGGTTTAAGTAGTGTGCTGAACATTTGGGCTGATTCAGGTGAAGCAGAATGGTGGAGAGTCATGTGAGGGAGATCTGGAGTCACATGATCAGGTGGTGTATTCTGGGAAAAGGAGTCTGGAGGCTGGGAAGTAGTAACAGTGGGACCAGAGGGAGCCATGACAGGTATCATATTTATAACTGACTGAAAAAATCAGGACTGTAATAATTTGGCCCATAGACATTCAGCGTGTCATGGGTATAGAGTGGAGTTCTCCAGTAACAGTTACATACCTGCCCTTTCTATCTGCAATTGCTGAGTGATGTTTAAATGGCACTTCTTTGTGTATAAGAATTGCAGTGCCTCTAGCTTTGGCTGAGAAAGCAGAATGATGTATCTGGCCAATCCAATTACACAACAGTCTAACCTAAAAATACTTTTTAAGGTGTGTTTCTTGTAGAAAAATGATGTCTGATGAGAAAGATTTTAAATGAGCAAGAACTTTTCTCCTCTTAACTGGTTCATTTACTCCCCACACATTCCAGTTTGAAAAAGTTAGAGCCATCTTCTTCTTGTTAGACAGCTCAGTATCCAATTGAAAAGAGATTTTCATGACAAAACATAGCACTCACCCTAACCTTTAACCACAGCTGGTGGGAAGTCTCAAAAGATCTGGATAGGCTGGTTGTTGAACTGTAGATTTGTCTTCACAGCAACATTGCACGATATTTTCCAAAACGTGGTGATTGTTATGGCAATTTAAGTTCTCTCTGCTACAAGCTCAGTCAGGAAGATCGACTCTACTCGAGGCTCTAGGAGACAGGGAGTCAATCAAGACACGGAGTCATAAGCATTCACTCTAATTCTGGTTTATTGACACACCTTGAGTAGCATTTATACATGAGTTGTCACGCATCCCTACATCCTATTATTCAGGTCTCCCTAACCTGTGGACTTCTTCATCCTGTTTTCCATTTTCCTCTTTCCATATGGTGGAGCACATTTGCTCACTACCTCTCTTTCTAACCACTTCCCCATATGTTCAAAAGGACATGGACAACTTGTTCATAACACCCATTTTCTTTGGAAAGTGCACACAGCACCCTCTGTTCTTCCTTTTTCTTGTTCTGTTAACAAGACACAAACCCACACAGTGTATGAATCTAGTATCAAATCTCAGACAGTCATATACTATGATTCAAAGATTAGGTATAGATTCAGGACATAAATTTGCTTTTTACCACCACAATGATAGTGCACCCTAAGGATGAGCTGATGTGGTAGTCTTCCATCCTCAGGTTGAGCCCGATCGAGAAAAAGCAGCTCCTCCAAACTGGCACATTTTGACCAGCCTCCATCCCTTCTTGTCTTCCCGCAATCCTCAAATGCCTCTTTGAGCGACTGTCCAATACATTTCTCCGCTAGTTCAGATAGTTGGGCCGTGTTCACCTAAGCCTGCAGGGCAGAGACGGCATCTGAAGTGGATGTCTCAGAGTGCTTGACCTGCTCTACAGTTTTATATTGACCACTGACGACGGCCTGTAGCGCATCGAATCTCGCTGTAATTTGTCCTTCCAACGTTGCAATCTCCCCTCTCAATGATTCGGCCATTTCTCTGATTTTTGCATCAATTTTGGCACAGATGTCCATTAGCGTCATTAGCGTGTTGTTGCACACTCTCTTCAATGCCATCACAGCCCATGGCATCTTGCAAGCTTTCTCCCTCAGCATTGTCTTTTTTCCCAGTGCTCTTTATCACACCTTAATTAAATCCACTCTTGCTTTGCTGCTTTTTGTCTGGTTAAATGAGATTTTAAGTGGAGCTACCCCAGTATGTCTTACACCATCGTAATCATCGCCACTGCCATTCTCCAGCTTTATATTGAATTTATGGGTTTATATGCTATAGCCTACACTGTCTGATCTATTCCACTGTATTGCTTCTGTCTTATTCTGATCTCTATCAATTGTGGAAGTGTTAATGGTGGGAGGAGGAAAGACGCTGGGGGCAGGTGTGAAGACGGAGAGCTTTTTTTATTCACAATGCAAAAACAAAATACTCGGCTTTTCAGCCCAAAAGGACAAGATGCTCGCTGGGACTTTTCAGTCCTTTCTGTCCACCCTTTTTCTGATCCGTTCAGGTCAGTTCAGTTCGGTTCGGTTTAGCTCAGCGCTCGGCCACACCCCCTTCTCCACAAACCCCAGGAACCGTCTCACCTCCTTTTTGGTCTTGGGTCTCGGACAGGTTGCAATTGCCGCCGTCTTATCAATTTGGGGACGCACCTGTCCGTGGCCCAAGTGGAAGCGCAGATACCGTACCTCCACCCGTCCAATTGCACACTTCTTTGGGTTAGCTGTAAGCCCCGCCCGTCTCAGCGATCTCAGAACCACCCTCAGATGTTGCATGTGCCGCTGCCAATCATTGCTGTATATGATAATGTCGTCTAAATAGGCAGCGGCATAAGCATAGTGGGGGCGGAGAATTCTATCCATGAGTCGCTAAAACGTGGCCGGTGCTCCGAATAACCCGAAAGGGAGAGTGACGAATTGGTGTAACCCAAACAGAGTGGAGAAAGCCGTTTTTTCTCAGGATACTGGCGTCAAGGGGATCTGCCAGTAGCCCTTAGTAAAATTCAGTGTTGAGTAAAAACGAGCAGCACCTGACCGATCAAACAGTTCATCAATACGCAGCATTGGATAGGCATCGAATCGAATAGGCATCAAATCGAGCATAGCCTTAATTTCATCCTGAACCACCATTTTTTTGTGCTCAGGCAAGCGATAAGGCCAGCTGCGTACAACCACGCCAGGAGGAGTTTCAATGTGGTGCTCTGTGAGGTCAATACGGCCAGGCAGAGACGAAAACACGTCGGAAAACTACCTACTGAAGGAAGAAATTGCCTATAAGTTGGCTGGCAGAAACAAGGCACAGGTGAACATAATCAGCTAGTTAGCCCGCTGGTTCAGCCAGACCGGCTTCTCCGTCCCACATTCGACGCTCGGCCACGCCCCCTTCTCCACAACAATTCTTTCCAGATATTTCATAAGTAAATCAGATGAGAACAAGCTACTGAGTAACCATTCTTTAGTTCTGTAATTAGTAAAAGTCAGGGAACAGTAGATATGGGAGGATATATTTTGTCCAAATGATCACATTTCAAAATTTCAAAATGGCCAAAACCACTTTCCTGGCCTTACTTGTGTTAATTGTTATGATTCACAAATAGATATGTGGTTTCCTTCTTCTGTCTGTCACTTTAACCTGACCCCACTGATGCTGCTGCTGCATGAACTAAACTATTCAAATTAATTGTTTGCCAGACACGGCCTCTTCGGGTGAGGCCTTAAGGTCATCCTCGGACCCGCAGGAGGTCCCCTAGAATGAGCTGGAAGTTGCCGGGTTCAGGATTCTCTGCTCTCCCAACTGCTACTGCGACCCTATCTGAATTAAGTAGTTTAAGATGATGATGATGATGATGAAGACTGATGACTGTATGGTCTGCTAGTGCACATTTACACATCTTTCTGTGAACTGTGCAAGAAACAACGTTTGCATTAAACTACAAGCAGTTCATGGTGAGATGAATATATAAAGCTTTCTTGTTTGTCTGTTTGTAGTTTATAATTAGAATCCCTGAAATCAAATCCAATCAAACTGAAGCAGCAATTTGTTCCTGTGTTCTTACAACCCATGGTGCGGCCCTATCAGGCATGTGTCTATCATTAGTATAGTATAATAACTTTTTTTTATGTTTTATTGTGTTTGTAATGTTAATTCAGCCTCATGTCAGGTGTAATATACAGACTTAGCTAAATGTTATTACTTACGTTCAGATAAGATGATCCTTCCTATACTTTTATGTAGAGTGCTATAAATATGCACTACGGTAGGATATTTAAACAAGGTTGAACAATTCTTATATTGTAACTCCAGTTCTAGTCATGAACATTATCACAGGTTACTCTGTTCTTTGATGCCTCTGTACCTTTCTGTCTAAATGTGACAGCACCACCAGGTGTTCACTGTTTACAACCTTGCTTCTCCTAACATGGCCACCAGCATCATGGCCAATGTGCCAAAGTGTTCTAAAGAGAAAGGTTGCAAATTTGTTATGCCATGCATTCAGTACACAGCAAAACTCAGAAGAGATAAAATGAGAAACAGAAAAGTTTTTCATTTAATTCAGCACTCACATTTATCTGTCTTTATTATATGTCTTCTGTCTCTACAGCGTGTTCCATAATATACATATTGTTAAGAATTTAGGTTAGTATTTTACAATATAACATAGTATAATAACATTTAGCATCAAAAGTATAAGTAGAAAAGTATGAAGTTTTAACTGAATTTAAATGACAACAGAAACCTAAATGACTGGGCTGAACAAAGTTTACAGAAAATACAGCAAAATGCTGGTGAATGTACAAAGCTGAAGTTGACTTTTTATTTGCCAGCTTCTTTTTCAAATTTTCTGTTCCACCTTAAATGGTGCAGCAGTTACGTTCTGGCACCTGAGTGCTGCACCAGGTGAAAAGGCAAATTCCAAAATGATGCTGGTGAAAACAAGTCAACTTCAGCTTCGAATGAATGTTGTACTTGTTTTAAGTGCAGAAGCTGGTAAGACAGAGAGAGCTTGGCTCTTTTGTTTTGCTACCATAAGAAAAACGGTTAGTTGATGTGCTGAACAAGAGTTTATTGATGGTATTGACGAACTTGAACTCTAACGCTTCACTTCTCTTCCAAGTCATTTGGATTTACGTCAAAAAGTCGAGTCGCAAGTCTTTATTGATTTCGTCGAGTCTCAAGAGTCCACACCTCTCTAATGTCTCTATGAGGATGGCAGTGTAGTTTCACAGATCCAGCCTGCCTCATAACAGCAGGGTATGTCATTCCATGTCTTCAGTGGAGGATTATCTGGTTGAAAAACAGCACAGTCCTCCCCTTTGTGATAATCGTTGGGTTCACCAACATTCCAGAATCTGAAGTTAACACACAGCATGCAGCACAGAGCTTTAGTCTAATATAACACTTTACATGATATGTTTTCGTTGAAAATGCAAAACCAAACTGTCATAAAATAGTATAATATCCACTGTGGTTTGTTTCAAATCTTTAAATTTACCTTCCATATCGCTGCTGACCAAAGAAAACCATGTATCGAAATATTTTGTCAAAAATTTCACAATGAATGGACCAATAGAAATGCTCTAAAATCACTTGAAATGAAATCTCTTTACATTGACTTACACTGAAAGGAGAAGTGTTTTTGCCCTTTTCCTGGAAAGTTACTATTTTTGAGATAATTGCTTTTCTTTGGACAGTGACAAGATGTAAAACTCACATGCTTTATGCACATTCCACTGGAATACGTTTGTAGTGTCATAATATGAGTTTTATGCTTTAAAGAATATTCTACAGAATAACTCACGCAGTGGTCAGTGGTGATCCGTCCACCCACTTCCACACTCCTTCTGTATGTGTATCACTTAGACCAATCCAGACATACTGATCCTCTGTGTAAATGAACTTCTACATAAGAACAGAGTGAGATTAGAATAAGGAGACCTCTATCAGAGTTCAGTTCTTCTCTCTCTCTCTCCTCACCTGCTCCTCTCTGCTGTTTATGATCACCAGATCTGCTCCTCTCTCTCTGCAGTCCTGCCTGGCTTCTGTCCATGTCTTGCGCTCAGTAGAGATGTAGTAATAGCTGCTTCTAAAATGTCTTCCAAGATGCCTTGTCTAGAAAAAAAATGTTTAACAAGTATGTGAAGCTGTTCAATTTTTTTTTCCATTAATCACCGAAACTTCCTTTGTCAAGGTTATGTCATCTTTTTCCAAGTGAGCTTCTCACCATTCAAAATGTGCTTAGGATTCATTTGCTGGCCTCCTTCTTCAGTAAGGTTTTTATTTATATGGTCTCTCTCCTCAGTCAGGTTCTGGTAGCTGCTCTTTAGCTGGTCTCTTTCTTCAGTCAGGTTTCTGATACTGGATAAGAGGGTCTCTCTCTCTGCAGTGAAGTTTACACTCAAAGAAATGATGGTTTGGTCCTTACTGTCCTTTTCCTCTTTAACATTACTATCTGCAAAAAAGTATGATATGTTTTATATATATATCTATAAATACATCTTCTTTCAATGATTTTCCCCATTAAGTATAGAAACACTCACAGTACATGTACAGCACTATGTTGGTGGTCAGCAGGAGAACACACAGCAGCCCCACACACACCACAGCCAGTCTGGAGCTTCTGCTTCCTCTTATGTAATCTAATAAAAAGAACACCAAATCACCATCAATTATCATTTATTCATTTTTTAAATGCAAAATGTATTCATGCTAATACTTAATACTACAAATGTCAATTCCAAAAAAAAACATTTTTTTTTGGAACTGAGGTTTTTAAACACATGTAAGCAACTAAAATAAAAAGTTACTTAATTATTTAGCTTTCAAGGTAAATCTACGAAACAGGGCTAAACTAAGTATTGTATATATGTGTCCATGTATATGCCTCCAAATGTGTTAATGTAATATTACCTGCCTCCTTCATCCTTGTTATCCTCTTTGTCCTGGTATCTTGAGCTCTAACAGCATCTTCTCCGTCATAAATCAGGCCTTTCATATCTATCTCACCCAGCTCTGTGCTGTTACCTCCTTCGTAGATTCTGTCTGCCATTGTATCTGCTTTACTTGCTTTCAGCAACTGGTAACTGCACAGTAAGCCGTCTCTTTGCTAACAGACGTGTGTGATATATGCAATTCGGAGAAAGCGTTGTCGGTTATTAATATTTCTTAAAGCAGAAACAGGGAACATACACAGGAAACAGAAATACACTGAAACACTGGGGTTCCTAAAATGGATGTGGTTTTAATTTCATATGAAGTGTGACCCTGGGGAACGGCTGGATACTGAGCAACAACTCAGATACAATCACAGACACACAGGCCAGCTTTGGGGAAGCCTGTTCCGAAACTAACTCACAAACATAAACGGCTTTTGGAAACAGCTTTTATTGGGATGTCACATTGGTTGTTGGTTTTTCGATTGAAAGGATGGAAGAGTTAAACTGGCAGTAGGATGCACACAAGTAAAGAGTGTGCCAGAAGTGCCAGACTGAATTTGATGGATGGATGGATACAATCAGAGGAATCATGAACAAGCTATTAAGAAACTAAAGACCCAAACAACTTTTCCTTCAAGTTTGCTTAGGGCCATAGGAGAAATCTCGGTAACACTTTATAATAAGGGTACATGAACTGGCAGTAATTAAGACATTTACTAATGAATAACTAATCAGAAAGTAATGAGTCATTAATCAGGAACAAATGAATAAGTCATATTAATAACCACAAGACTAAATGTACTAATGAATAAGGATGAAGGTAATAAAGGCTTTATTCAGTGCCTGAATTTATTAGGAACTCATGTGTTAATTAATGTTGTCACAAGATCCCCCTGAGACGCAGCGCTCTGGAATATTATGCCTATCAAAGTCAACTGTATAGCTCCATCCTCTCATCATCTTGTCCTTCTTCTTCATCATGCTGTGTAAGCAGCCCTTGTATTTGTCTGTTTCTATCTGTCAGGTCTTGAGTTTATTGTTTTTGATTTCTTATGTTACGTCGTCTGTGTCTACCCACCTAGTGACTGTTTAGTAAAATTAAAAGCTTACATTGACATTGACATTACACCCTCTCGCTGTCTCGACTCAGTCTGTTTACTATTAGGCCCTGTGAAGCACTGCCACCGCACACACAGCCCTTCACAATAAGAGTCCCTGTCAAAGGAGGAATAACAAATAAACCAAGCAGAATAAAATTAACATGTGATTTTAACCAGACAGAATAGACGAGCCTGACGCCACATATTACTACTACAATCACACGACGCTTGTGAGAAGCACAAACACCTTACTATTAAAACCAAAAAAGTTTATTGCAAATAATTAAGCACCAAACCAAATATTCAAGCTACTTTATAACGAATTTAGAAATAATAGTTCCTGCAAATCTGTTCTGTTTCACCACAGATAACAGCTGCATGTTTTACGCCTTAGTCTAAAAAGAGGTGAGGCACGAACATACATACTAGCACTCACAACACTCAGACAACAATACCACATGTAAAAATAATATCTGTGATGTAAATTACGTATATAATACAGTATGCATATGCATAACTCACCTTTAAAAGTAAGAAAAATGCAAAATATTGCAAAAAGGCGAAAAGAGAAATATTGAATTTTTTTTTATTATTTCAATTATTTTCATTCGCTTCTCTTAAACGTTGTACTAGAGATATTCACTCAAGACTCTATGGCGGCTTGATATATAGCATTTAATGCAATTACTGCCATTTACTGGCGAAGAAAAATAGCAGTAACTTCCAGCTGCAGAAACAGTTGAAGTGTTAAATTGCAAAATGCTGTGTTTCCATTAATAAAATGTTTAGATAAAGCAAATTTTTAAAAGAATAATAGATGTATAATGGGAAACACATTCATTTTCTGAAGGTGGCATTTCTCAGAATAACTGTGGCATATATTATATTTTCATATATTATTATATTTTATTATATATTATATTATTATTATAATATATTATATATTATAAGATAATTCACAGTTTTAATTAAATCAAATGCCTATTTTCAGTAAATAAATAAGTTTACAGTTTATCAAACATACAACAGTTCATGTTTCTGTTGTAACAGTATGACATTGCAGTATGACATAGGTAATCATAAACTGCATGAATAGAATGAAACTAACAGAGCTTCTGGCAGTTCGCCAATGTGTACTAACATTCTTTTTGCATGCTTAATTAACACATGAATTCCTAATTAATTCAGGCACTGAATAAAGCCTTTATTACCTTTATCTTCATTCATTAGTACATGCGTTAGTAATTTAGCCTTGTGGTTGTTAATATATGACTTATTCATTTGTTCCTGATTAATGACTCATTACTTTCTTATTAGTTATTCATTAGTAAATGTCTTAATTACTGCCAGTTCATGTACCATTTTTATAAAGTGTTACTGAAATCTCTTTCTGCAGAAACCAGCGAGGGGGATTTCACAAGGGGCATTTTCTGACAGGGTTATGGCCAATAAAAAGGAAGAATCTCCCAGAGAATCCAGAGAAATAGATTGCAGCATACAGAATACAGAACACATAAAAAATCAAGATATGTTAACTTTCAATATCCACTCATTTCCAATGCACTTCAAAACCACACTCTGGTTGACCAACCAAAAAATTGGTTTGCTAATCCAAAAACAGTGCTTTAAAATAATAAAACATGAATTATCCTCACAAACTAAGCTAGTTAGTGACAGCTGTGTACCCTACACACACCCAAAGCAAGTCAGATTTAAACACTGTGTATACTAAATTCATCTCATGGATTTGCAAAGAACTTCATTTGTTTCAAAAGGGATGGTCATTGTCATTATCCCCACTCACTGCATTGTGACGTATTGTAAGTTGTTGGTTTTTTGATTGGAAGGATGGAAGAGTTAAACTGGCAGTAGGATGCACACAAGTAAAGAGTGTGCCAGAAGTGCCAGACTAAATTTGATGGATGGATGGATACAATCAGAGGAATCATGAACAAGCTATTAAGAAACTTAAAGACCCAAACAACTTTTTCTTCAGGTTTGCTTAGGGCCATAGGAGAAATCTCTTTCTGCAGAAACCAGCGAGGGGAATTTCACAAGGGGCATTTTCTGACAGGGTTATGGCCAATAAAAAGGAAGCATCTCCCCTTTGACAGAGAAATAGATTGCAGCATACAGAATACAGAACACATAAAAAATCAAGATATGTTAACTTTCAATATCCACTTATTTCCACTTCAAGAACTTCATTTGTTTCAAAAGGGGTTGTCATAGTTATTATCCCCACTCAAAGCTTGAACTGTACAGACCTGAAGTACCAATGCAAACAGCTAAAAAGAGAAAGACAAACATTTTTCTCTTCGTTTTCTAGTTAAAATACAAGTCATCTTTATCATATTAATTCTGGGTGTTACACTGACAAGCATTTAAATAAGAGATAAAATCACTCTGGCGGTGTCTTTTTAACACGGTGGCATCGTGGCACCACCATGGTCAACACCGCTGTGAGGAACTTAGGTGTGGCCACGCAAAGCGGCTTTCGGGAGGCACACACTCTTGGGTTAAAAAGGTAGTGCTGCTGCTGTTATTGTTGATATTGTTGATGTTATTAGTGTAGTTGTGTTGTTTGGAGCAATTGTGACTGAGGAGGCTGGGTTTACAGTGTGCTGAAGTGTCCACCCTCCACAGATGTCATGTCCTCCCATGTTACCTCGGGTTTCGTGTGGAGTTCTATATTTCTTGCTGTCTGTTGAAGGGCCTGTTCAAAATAAACCAGCATTTGCCTATCACTAGCCACGTTTACATGCAGCCTAATAATCCGTTAATAATCCAACTAATATCTCAGTCGGAATAGAATACGTCCATGTATACAGCTCAATCAGAATAGACTAGTCCGATTGAGGCCATTCAGAATACAATTTCTACCCAACTTGTAATATTAACAAAAAAATAACTTCTTTCAAGTAAGCCCAGTTACTGTTTTTAAAGTTTAAAGGGTGCACATTTTTTGATAGTGTAAGCCGTATTAAAACAAAAACTTCTTCCTCCCTCTGCGATACCACCCACACAGTACTACATGGAATCATTTCCCAACATCCCATGGTGAGGGTGCCCCAGATGGCACTGGGAGAACAGTAAAAAGTACTGCAAATTGCAAGGAAACGATATGATTAATGGAAAAGAGTTCTTTGAAACGAACTCACACAGTATGAAAGCTGTATCACACTGAAGTACTAGACACTACACTAGGTCATCCTGCATCGAAAAAGTGTCCACCACAGACAGCTATCATGCCTTTCGAGGTGAGCCATTGAAGTGCCAGTACTTTACCCCAGCTACATCCTGTTTACATGGCTGCACAGAGGAACAACAGACTGATGCAAGGACCAGGAAGAAAGGTCCTTTGGCCATGTTAATAGAGGAGATGGGGGAACGAAGAAGTGATGGAGGAGGAAATGGAAGAGAAGCCACTGAAAGGCCCTGAGGGCACTATAGTCAAAATAACTAAAAAACTATATGCCATTATATTTCTTAAGTAAGCCTTTATGGACATTTCATAAAGTGGTTCTTGAAGTTGAAATACTCACGTTGCATGCATAGGGCTATGATGGTGGTCAGGAGGAGAGCACACAGCAGCCGCACACACACCACAGCCAGTCTGGAACATCTGCTTCCTGTTCTAATGACTGATAAAGAGTGGACCGATGTTGGTTATGAAAGATATGTGTGCATGTCTGTGTTTGTTACATTACCTGCCTGTCTGTCCATCTCACTCAGCTCAATCCTGCTCACATTCGCACAGATTCCTTCTCCCGTTCTTTCTCTGTGTTATTCGGTATTAATGAATAGCCTACTAAACCTCCTTCTCTGAAAAGCCTACGAGGTCGTGTGACCTGTAACTCATTCTCGTAACTGAAACTGAAGAGGGTTAATGGGCACTGAAGTCAGAGGAAGTAAGAAACTGGCCTGATATATATAGCTGTAGTTACATATACATATACATGCACATTATGGCCAGCCAAAAAGGAAACATTTAAAATAAACCCACTGCAACTGCGAGGGCCATTGCAAAAGCTGAATGTAAAGGTATATATTAGATTATTGTCTCGTTGTAGAAGCCAGCATCTTTTCAGATTCAGCTTCTTGACTGACTTTGTCATATTTGCTTTCAGAATTTGCTGATATTTTGTGGAGTTCATTCCTCCATCTAACCATACAGTGTTTCTTGTGTCACTGGCAGCCGCACAATCCCAAAACATAACTGAGCACAGAACTTCCAAAATTCCAAAATGACTGTGGCATATATATCAATAAAATATACATTGATATATATGGATTAATCACTAGGATTAACAAATATGAACACTGCTGTTTTTAAAATGATCTTTGATGTTTATTCATTGAATGTTTATATATGTGTATACTGATAATCCACCCATCTGTAGCTACACATCATTTATCAGCCACCCTCAGGTCATTCTGTCCAAGAGATCACTGTGCATACATACTGGTGCGACTTACAAGCGTTTGAATGTAACTAGTACACCGTTTAAGGTGGAACAGAAAATGCAATAAGACTTTAACATCAGCTTCATCAAATCTCTATCCACTGTGGGAGACTCAGCAAACCGGGGTGGGGGCGACTGGTTTAACCCCTGAAGTATAACTATAAATATATCCTTGTATGTGATGTTAACATTTATAATTTGTCTGAGCATTCTTGTGCTTATATGTGTAAATTATACATTAGCTGACAGTAACTGGCTTAAAAACGCTACCGTCCCACTGGGAATTCTCCGGACTCTTTTGGATTCATCTGTCTGGAATACCATAATTAAAGACACTTCAAAGTTGAGTCATTCAAAGTTGAGTCATTTAATTTGCTGTTTAGTTGGTAATATGAGCTGGTTTAACTGAATATTAAGCCATGTGTATGTAAATACTGAGAATACTCATGTAAAATAAGAATAATATAAATAATGATACAAATAATATAAATATATTTCACAGTTTAAAATAATACTACAAACCCTTTAACCCTCCCAAAGAAAATTCTATGTTAGTCAAAGACATTATGTGTATGCATAAAAAGGTTTTAGAATGCTGCACTGGCATAAAATTCTGAAATAAAAGCATGACTGGCCTAATTCAGAGGAGCAATTTGGAGGAATTCAACGGCAATTCACAGATCCATCCTGTCTTTCCAGAGCAAGGTACATCATTCCATGTATTCAGTGTGGGAGCACAGATAGAGAAAACAGCACAGTTCTCCTTTCCATCTTTTTCACTGGGGTTCCCCCTCCCTCCAGAACCTTGGAGTACAAGACAGCATGTAACCCAGAGGTTTATTCACGCAATTTATTTTATTTATTTATTCATCTATTTAATTGTTTGTTCAAATACAAACAATACAATACTGTTTCACTCACGCAGTGGTCAGTGCTGACCCATCCACCCACACCCACACTCCTTCTGTTTCTGCATTGCTCAGACCAATCCAGACATATCTTTTTTCTGACTCAATGAACTCCTAGAGGAGAACAGAGAGTGATTAGAATAAGGAGATTTCTATCAGAGTTCAGTTCTTCTCTCTCTCTCTCTCCTCACCTGTTCCTCTCTGCTGTTTATGATAAGCAGATCTGCTCCTCTCTCTCTGCAGTCCTGCCTGGCTGCACTCCAGCTCTTTGAATAAGTAGAGAAGTAGTAATTGCTGCTTCCAAACTTTCTCCAACCTTCTGACTGTTGCTTCTCTGATACACAATAAAGCACATCTTAATAGTAATAAATGAGTGATTCCGGTTTATAATGTTTTGCGGCCCATTGTTTTTAAGAAGCCATGACATTTCTTCAGCATAATTTTAGTCAATACAGTTTTTGTGCTTTGGAAAGATGATGTACTGAGCGCTTGTACTGACAGCTGTTTTAACTCACCCAGCTGTTTTAATAAGTCATCATTCGGTCTGCATTGTGAGGACTTCCTTAGTCAAGGTTTTGGTTAGCTGGTCTTTTTCTTTAGTCAGGTTTAGGATACTGGATAAGAGGGTCTCTCTCTGTACATCATCCTTCACATTAACATCTGCATTGAGAAAACAAGATGCATTTCAGAAGTCTTGTACTACGTATGTATTCTGTAGTGTTGCTGTCAAAATCACTAGAGCCAAGTCCAAGTCAAGAGTCCAAGTCACAGTTCATGCAATATGGGGAGGAAGAAAGATCTTTCTGAAGATGAAAAGTATGAAATAGTGCAATGTTTTGAAAAAAGGCATGAAAACAACTGATATTTCACAAAAACTGAAGAGAGATCATCAAACTGGGAAAAGATATGTGAGCGGTTCAGAGCACAGATGTATGCGGTCAGATAAAGGCTTATTAGGGAAAGTTTCTGTCAGACAGAAAAAAGAGAAAAAAATAATGGTGTGACCTCAATCTTATTGAAAACCTGTGGTGCATCCTTAAAAGGAAGATCTATGAGGCTAGACATCAGTATATCTTGAAAGAGCAGCTCTTGGAGGCAATACTGGCAGCCTCAAACAAGGGATGACCCACTACTTTTCAAAGTACTGCGGCGACGACCCACCGCTTTCTGACTGATCACTAAAATCATAAGGAAATTAATCTTCATGGAGTGCAGACCAATAGACAGGAACAAAGAGAGTCGAACTCAACAGTAAAAGCATTCAAAATCTCCATTTCAGCTAGGGGGCAGGACATTTCCCAAACAATAAAGCTTTTGTGAGCTGCTGTTCAGTGAGAGGAGCTGCAGCTCCCTGATCTGGTAAAAGTGTTTTTATTGCAATACAGGAGCCAATGCAAGTTTATGTTATGCTATGTGGATTTACTAAATGGCAGTTTGAGTATTTCTTACTGCTACACTGCTAAATTAAGAGTGCCGTCAGATCTGCCGTGGTTGCTGCAGACCTACTAAACTTTTTTAGTCCACTTTTTTAGTGAACACTCCATTTGTGTTCAGGTCTGCTCCAGAGATCCAATTCACAAGGGAATTCAACACCAGAGCAAGTTTTCTTCAGTGCATATCAATGAGGTACTGTCTGCTCAGTCTGCCTGCGTTAACAGTATGGAGTTGTATCATCACATAACAACAAAGAATAGTTCCTTGTAGCCATGAAAAGCACATCAAAACACCAAAATTGCAAACAACATCTACTTTTAAATTATACATACATATATATATATGTATACACACACACACACACACACACACACACACATATATATATATATATATATATATATATAGTTCGAAATAGGTTAGTTAAAATCAACATGTACCTTATATCGTGGCTGTCCGTTCTCCATATTTTTTCAAGATCATTTGAGCTCACCCGCTGGCCATTACATTTTGTTAAAATTTAAAACAATTCAGAAACAGAAATGCTTCAGAATTGCTGAGAATAAAACTTCCACTTAGCTTCTATTAAACGTAAACAACGTTTTTTCCCTCTTCTGTAAATTTCTATTCACTTTTCAGCTCTTTCACAGACATATTTTGGTCAAAAGATGTGCCTGGGTGTTTTTAAAAGACATCCCATACCACGACAGACGGTACAGTGTTATTGTCTTCCCATCTTCAAAGCCAGAAGTAATGTTTCTGCTTTGGATTCATCCATGTGGTAAACAGAGGTGTGACTAGTCTCTACCAAGACTGTAAAAAATGATCTGCTAGTTCAAACTAAAATGGTCAATACCTATCTAAAACAGGCACAAACTGCATGTAGAATTACCAGGTGATTAAAAATAAATATATCTGTATCTGCTGGTGCCCCATATATTCAAACACTAATATATACGCACTACATTATTTCAACTCCTTGTGTTGCTTTGTGCCAGCTCTCACCTCATCTGCTGTTTGTGTTGCTTGTATGGTCAGTTCTTGTCCTCTCTCAGCTGCTTTTGTGTTAAGCTGCTCTCCAACATCTTCAACCCTCTGTTGATGTAACATTTACTTCATTACTTTAAAATAAAAGCACCATTACCAAAAATGAAGTGCATGTAACTTATAGTTATAGCATGGCCACACATAACGGCTTAAATAAATAATAATTAATGTTCACGGTGTTTGGTTAACAACCAGGTGAACGAAATAGCCTGTCTGCCGTTAGTTGGTGCTGCTTCATAGCTTATAAAGCTAGCTAACAAGCTAACGTCAGCTGAGGTTACAGCTCAGTTTGAAATAGATTATTTTCAAATAATGCTCGTCTGTATCATTAACTTGTCTTGATCCTGCTGAACTGTAAAACGCCACAAAAGTACTACACACAAGGACAGCATTTATCTTACGTTTCTCACTTCTTTTTAAACTTTAATCGTAGCAGTGCACTCAGCACCGCTCACACTGTCGCCTCCTGAGATCCAACTTGTGGTGCGTCGTTCGCGAACGAGTCGACTCTTTGAATCGGCTCTTTTAGGTGAACAATGGGAGCAGACTCGCACTGAACAGTTGATTTATTAATTATTTTTAAATTCAGGTTGAGATGTTTAGAATTTATGAGGCTGTAGTTGAGAATTCCTAATCATTCTCTGGGATTGTTTTAGGACCCCCTCCTGGACCTGGTTATGGTACATTGGGTCAGTACCCTCATTATCCCCAATGCCTGTTGTTGTTAACTTGGCTCTGGTTTTGCTCTTAGCTGTATTACCAATTGTGCCTCATCAGTTCTTCAGATTTTTGACCTGCCTTTGTTTGTGACTGCTTTATGTATTTGCCCACATTTAACCTCCATTCCTGTCCCCTGCCTCTCAAAATTCACCCTTTTAGATTATTTATTAGTGTAGCCAAGTTTTGTTCATTAATTAATTAAAATGTAGATGAACTCAGATTTGCTGAAAATGAAATAAATAATATTGCTAAAAGTGCCAAGAACCGTTTGGGAGCCGAAAGAGCCGAGTCTTCTATGTGAGCCGAACCAATTTATCTGACTCACTGAAGAGAGCCTCAATGTCCATCACTGTTGGAGAGTCGATTCCAAAAGAGTCGTTCGACTCTAATACGTCTAGTATCAGAGGTTCCTTCACTCACTTCACCTGCTGCTTTGACGCCCATCCATCCATCCATACAGTCTTTAAACACACCTTTATTTTAGTATGACTACCAAAGTGCTTTTTATTCCATTTTAGAAGGGTAACAAGCTATAATTCTAAGCTTTCTCTGCACGCAAGTTATAATAAATAGTCCACTGCAATATGAAATGGTTCGTGTGGCAGAATGTCAGGACCGTGTACAGATTAGAATGATCACAATAAGCAGCGTTTTACAGCAATGCTGCCCCCTTCTGGTAAAAGTGTTACCTGCAGCCGATTTCATACCATCTGTGACGTCTGTCATTGCAGACAGTAGTGTGTTCACATTAGTGGCAATTATTTATTTTTTAGAATCCCCAAAAAAACTGTTTCTAAAGCTGTAGCCTGACAATATAAAGGTTTCCTAAACATTTTCATTAACATGAAATAAAAACAAACCAAAGATATGCCAACAAAATAATCACAAGCACTGAATCTAACAGAAATCATGCCAAAAATTAGGAAATATCTAATAGTTTTTGTGGCTGTTAGTGGTGTGAGAAACAATCACCAAGCCAAAATGTTCTTGCAACCGTTTCGCCGCTCTCAGTTCACCGCCTACGCCCTCACCTACGTCCCGGGCCTCGTCACCCGCCCCAGTGCCTCGTCCCTCTACACAGGACTCCGTTTACGTTATCGGTAGTTCTAAAAGTAAAAGGAATAAACAGCCATGCTACTCTTTCGTGTTTTCCAGGTGCTCCGTGTCTTAGACATAGCCCGGCGCCTCCCCTCGGCTTTCAGCAGACGCAACGCCTTCGGGACCGTGGTGATCCATGTAGTGACCGCCGTAGTGAGGTCCTGAAGGAGCACTACCAGACGCTGCTGGACACCGCCAGGAAGAAGACGGGACGCCAGGATCGTCATCTCCGGACCGCTTCCCACCTACAGGAGGGCATCCGAGCGGTTCAGCAGGCTCTTCGCGCTGCAGTCCTGGCTCCGCGGCTGGTGCGCCATCAAGGGCTTGGGCTACGTGGACAACCGGACCTCGTTTTGGGAACAGCCCCCGCTCTACCGGAGGGATGGCCTCCACCCTAGTCGTCTGGGATCTGTTCTCTCACGGAGCTTTAGGCGTGAGCCAGAAAGTAGGCTATAAATTCTCTTCTTTTGAAGTTCTTTTTCTTAATATAAGTGATCAAGGAACAAATAAACTACAAAATTACAGTTTACAGGCCACCAGGGCCGTATTCTCAGTTCTTAAAAGAATTCCCATGAGTTTCTATCAAGTCTAATAACGCTTTCAAATAAAAATAATAGTTGTGGGAGATTTTAATATCCACTTTGACAATCCTCAAGATGCACTAAGCAAGGCATTTACATCTATTATAGACTCCATAGGTTTCACCCAAATCATAAAGGGGCCCACACACTACCACAACCACACTCTAGACTTAATACCGACCTTCGGTGTAGACGTCCACTTATACTGTTTTGTGTCTGTGCTGTTATCTGGTGTCGACCAGAGGAGGATGGGTTCCCCTTTTGAGTCCGGTTCCTCTTAAGGTTTCTTCCTCCTGTTGAGGGAGTTTTTCCTTGCCACTGTCGCCAAGGCTTGCAGTGAGGGGGTGTGGACCCGGATTCTCTGTAAAGCTGCTTTGTGACAACATCTGTTGTAAAAGTTGCTATATAAATAAATTTGACTTGACTTGACATAGATAACTTAGCCATTCTCCCCCAGAGCACAGCAGTCTCCAATCATTACTGAATCTCATAGGAAATTCACTTTAGCGGTAATATGCGTTCATCACCATGTTATTGTGTCAAGAGGACAATAACTCCCTCCACAGCTGGTAGCTTTATCTGAAACCTTCCTCAATTATCAGCTTCTGTCAGCTGCTCATCTGATCCTACTGAGTTAGATATTATGACCAAGCTCTTAGAGGAAAATTTTCGATCTACTCTAGATAGTGTGGCTCCATTAAAAAGTAAAATAGTAAGGCAGAAAAAAATCGCCCCTTGGTATAATGACCACACTCGGGCTTTAAAACAGACCACCAGACAACTTGAGCGAAAATGGCGCCTCACTAAGCTAGAAGTGTTCCAGTCCGCCTGGAAGGAGAGCCTTATAGACTATAGAAGAGCACTTGCTACAGCACGCTCAGCCTATCTCTCCTCTCTCATAGAAAACAAAAAGAATAATCCTAGATTACTTTTCAGCACAATCTCTAAACTAACAGAGAACAAAACAGTTAATGAACCCCAGATGCCATCAGCCTATAGCAGCAATGATTTTATGAACTTCTTTAGTGATAAAATTGAAAAAATTGGGCAGAAAATTCAGAATACACAATTAAACTCTACAAACCTGCTGCCTTATAATGCCAGCCTCAATCTTGAGAATACTATAATCCTCGCAGAGAGGCTGAAATCATTTACCTTACTCCAAGAAAATGAACTAGTTAAAATAGTTTCTTCCGCAAAATCATCTACTTGTATGTTAGATCCAATTCCTACAGGTTTACTCATAGAAATTTTGCCAGAAATAACTAAGCCTGTTCAAATTATAGACCCATCTCGAATCTCCCCTTAATATCTAAGAAAGTTGTAGCAAAACAATTAAGTTCCTATTTGCATAGGAATCAAATCCATGAAAAATTCCAATCTGGCTTTAGGCCACATCATAGTACAGAGACAGCACTAGTTAAAATTGTAAATGATCTATTATTATTTTCTGACAATGAAAATGTGTCCTTGTTAGTCCTCCTCGATCTTAGTGCGGCATTTGACACAATAGACCACGCTATCTTACTAGACAGACTAGAAAACCTTGTAGGAGTAACAGGAATAGCTCTTTCCTGGTTCAGGTCCTACCTCAATGATCGCTATCAGTTTGTTAATATAAACAGTGAATCATCTGCCCTCGCAAAAGTAAAGTATGGTGTTCCACAAAGCTCTGTTTTAGGACCTGTATTATTCACATTATATATGCTACCACTGGGCACCATTATCAGTAAACATGGCATAAATTTCCACTGTTAGGCCGATGACACTCAGTTATATTTAGCAATCAACCCGGATGTTAAAATTAAACTTAGTAAGATTGAGGACTGTATAAAAGACATAAAAGACTGGATGTCGAGTAACTTTCTCCTTCTAAACTTGGATAAAACAGAGGTTCTACTTCTTGGTCCGAAAGCGGCTAGAAACAAACTGTCTACTTTAACACTTAAACTTAACAGTTTCTCAGTTGCATCAAGCTCACCTGTAAAAAACCTTGGTGTCATTATAGACCCTGATCTGTCCTTCGACGCACATATAACTAATATTACTAGAACAGCCTTCCTGCATCTCCACAATATTGCTAAATTGAGAAATGCATTATCTCTACAGGATGCAGAAAAGTTAGTTCATGCATTTATTACTTCAAGGTTAGATTACTGTAATGTCCTGCTGTCTGGATGTCACAGCAAAAGCCTTAACAAGCTTCAGCTAGTCCAGAACACTGCAGCCAGAGTTCTTACTAGAACTAGAAAGTTTGACCATATCAGCCCAGTTTTATCAACCCTACACTGGTTACCAGTTAAATTTCAGATTGATTATAAAATTCTCTTACTGACCTATAAAGCTCTAAACGGACTCGCCCCTCAGTACCTGAGTGAACTTCTCTCTCACTATGAACCATCATGCCTACTTAGATCACAAGGTGCTGGCTTACTATTAGTACCTAGAACTAATAAAGTAACGTTAGGGGGGAGAGCTTTCTCATACAAAGCCCCCCGGCTTTGGAATAATCTTCCTGTTAATGTTCGGGACTCAGACACAGCCTCAGTCTTTAAGTCTAGGCTGAAAAACTAACTTGTATAGTCAAGCCTTTGGTAATTAGTTTTCCCTGTCAGTTCTGTACCTGCCAGAGTCTCCGCTGCTCTGCTAACACTTTAATCTGTGATCAGTCGCCCATTACAGAACTGACACCCATTACAGAACTGACTCTCAGTTCTGTCAGTCACCCTATTACAGAACTGACTCTCTGTGTGTTTTCCTTTCTTTTCTTTGCCGAGTTGAACAGCTGCCCATCCTGTGCGTCTGATGCTGCAGCCTCTTCTGCCTTGATCGGGTGCCACTGCTCGCCAGCCCTCTGGACCGGCTTACCACCATTGAGCCTCCTGCTGTACAACGCCGTGCAAACCTCACCCTCACAACCTGACCCCACTGATGCTACTGCTGTTGCTACATGAACTAATCAAAATTAATCATTTGAACTAATCAAATTAATCAATCACCCATTATAGAACTGACTCTCTGTGTGTTTTTCCTTTCTTTCTTTTCTTTGCTGAGTTGAACAGGTGCCCATCCTGTGCTGCTGCCTCTTCTGCCTTGATCGGGTGCCACTGCTCGCCGTGCAAACCTCACCCTCACAACCTGACCCCACTGATGCTGATGCTGCTGCCGCTGCTGCTGCATGAACTAAACCAATCAAATTAATCATTTGCTCCACCTGTTTTCTCCGTTTTTGTACTATAATACTTTACTCTCCGGTGTCGACTAGATGGGTTCCCCTTCTGAGTCTTGGTTCCTCTCAAGGTTTCTTCCTGTTTCTCTTAGGGAGTTTTTCCTTGCCACTGTCGCCTCTGGTTTGCTCATGGGGGCTTGGACCCGGATTTCTTTCTGTAATGCTGATTTCCTTGTAAAGCTGCTTTGTGACAACACCTGTTGTAAAAAGCGCTATATAAATAAACTTTACTTGCTTGCTTGCTTGCTTCTCTATGTTCATATAGATCCTCTTCAAGTCTTCATGGTCCTAATGGCTGTTAGATGAATGGAGAATGGAAAATATTTGCTGATGTTTCAACAAGTGTCATTTAGAGAAACTGTTTTTTTTTTTTTCATTTGCTTCCTACAACTACGTAAAAGAAGACTGTGCAACAACAACAAAACATTTTCTTCATTCAGTCAGGTGCAAGTGTAACTTCAAATGGAAAACTGAGCAGCTTTTTTAGCTGGAATCTCCACCATATAATTATATTTCCAAATATGTGCATTTGTTTTACAAAATTGCAGGCATTTATATTATTATATATGATTATATATTTGAGCAAATATTTAGGAAATACTCATCATGTTACATCAGCAATGACTAGCAGTTTTTTTCTGCTTTACTCTTCAGGAACCAGGTGAAAAAAACTCACTTTTGCTCAAATCTTGATCATAAAAGCACTGTAAGAAATCGTTAGCCTACTAAGTCTGATAGCCAGAGATCATGATTTTATATGATATATTTAAATCCTATCCCAGCCGAGTTTCTTTACTCTTTGTTGTAGTCCAGTGTCAGAGGCAGGAATAAAATACCAGCTAGGCCTGTGAAAAAGTGAGTAGGTCAACTTGGTACATTTAATTTCCCAAAATGACATTGTGGCATATTAGCATAATATCAAGCTATAGCCTGTTTCTGGCAGCTTTGCAGTCATTACCCTATGTATTCCAACACTTTCACCCCTGTGATGATTCAAAACAATAGCAATCAATCGGAAAGTTGATTCACATAAACACAAACAGCACTGCAACACCCTTCATTTTAAAGACTATAAAGCATTCGTCTGCTCACCACAGGCACTTTTACACAATGAAGAGGACATAAGTTAAAATTAAACAGCTGACATGTACAAAGATGCAGTAAAAACACAGCAAATGAAACAAGCTTAAAAACCTAAACTTAATCATCCTAAGCTAAAGCATACTGCCACAGTAAGCATGAAAAATGTTTATACTCTATTTATGTTTTATCGCTGATGAATCAATGCACTGAAGTAATATTAGATGTTTGCTTAGACATTTGCACAAAGCCTAAGTCAGCTCTTGTGGCAAAAGAGCATTGTAAGTTAGAACTTAGAAAACTGGAGCTTCAAATTTAACAACTGGCATGTTAATGACATACTGAAGGCTTGAGGCAAAGGTGGATAGCAATGGCCGCTAAGCAGTGATTAGAGGGCTAAGAAAAGTAGGCAAAGCTTTACGGAAAATGGATGATTTGACTGACCATAATACAATGACAGCCCACCCAGAAAACAAATAAAATGTCATTATGTTAAAAAAAGCTAGAAATATTACTTTCTTATGTGTTTGAGTAGCCTGTGATCAATTTCACCCTGCTTAAATAAAAAAACATGAAATGTTACTGTTGTTAAATGTACTGTTGGTTCGTTTTGGTTTTTGTAATGATGGGTTGATATCACAGTGTAAAGGTTCCTAATAGTTTAATTTGTGATCGATTTCAGATGCATATGATGGTTTTCTAATAGGATCTGAAGGTGTTCTTTGGAGTTTTTGGAGATACAGATATCAAGTCTTCATTTAAACAGTCTGGATTATGATTGTTCGTAAAACAGTGACAAATGTTTAGATTTTCTCATAATTGCTTGCACCGGCCACCTAGTGGCCCATGCCCATAAAAACCACCAGATGATGTACATAGGTACGTATATATGTACGCAACAAGACTAAACATAGTTATACTTGATCACTAGTGAGGTTTGTTGAGTCTGTAAGGTCTGTTATACACTATGTGGTCAAAAGTATGTGGACAACCCACCTATTTATTGAGTTCACATGTTTCAGCCACACCCATGGCTAACAGCTGTATACAATCCAGCATGTAGCCATGTCATCTCCTGGCAGTAGAATGGGTCATACTGAAGAGCTCAGTGACTTTTTTGTTCTTTTTTGACGAGTTTGTTTGTAAAAGTTCTGCCTTACTAGAACAGCCTCAGTCAACTGTGAGTGCTATGATTGTGACATGCAAGTGTCTAGGAACAACAACAGCTCAGCCATGAGCAAACTCACAGAGAGGGGCTGCTGAGTACTGAAGCGTGTAAAAATCCCCCTGTCCTCTTTTGAGTCACTCAATACAGAGTTCCAAACTGCCTCTGGGAGCAACATCAGCAAGAACTGTGCATCAGGAGCTTCATGAGAAGGTCTTCTATGGCTGAACAGCTACACACACGCCTAAGATCACTATATGCAATGCCAAGAGTTGGCTGGAGTGGTGTAAAGCATGCTGCCACTGGGTTCTGAAGCAATGAATTATAACATTTATGACTGTCTCCAAAAAAAAAAGGTCATTTGAAAAGACTGTTTCTTTATTTAGGAAGAATGTTTGTTTAAGAAGTCTGTTTCCCATTCATATCATTAATAATTTTAGCACTATCCTTTACATTTATTAGATTTAAGCATTAATTGATTTTCATTTTTCCATACAAAATAATACAACGGGACTTCCAAGTAGGATTTCACTTAGAACCCACAAATGTTTAGAAATGCCTCTGCATGCAGCTGCGATGTAAAAGTCATAGACCATCCTTCATATATTTAATTTACAGTCAAGTGAAACACAACTTAGTCATTCATTCATATTTTTGCTTAAATGCCATAATCCATTTATACTAAGGCAAAAGAAAAAAAAATGAAAAAACAGGAGTTTCCAACATTTTGCATTTTTAAATGATACAGAGAAAATGGGACTCTTAACAAGCATACAAGACCTGGAAGACCACCAAATCTGTCCTCATCAGATAAACAGCACTTAAAGAGAGAGCAGAAAATCCAGCTGCTTCAGATCTAAAAAAATCCACAGGTGTTTCTGTCCATCCTTCCACCGTGAGAAGACAACTCTGAAAAAAGAACACCACGTCCTAACGAAATAAAGCTGCTGGTGCTCTCAGAACAATGGAAGTGACCACTCCAGAATCCAGACCTCAGCATCACTGACTGTGATTTGGATAACTTGGATAGTGAGAAACAGAAAATGCAACAAACTTCTAAGACTGAACTTTGGAGGTGTCAATATATATAACACAATATATATTAAGTTGTTGAGGCTTCTGAAAAATTTCCTGTGTTTCTGCTTTTTTCTCACAGCTGAAAAACGACTGACTTGTACTTAATGACTGATTTGACTTGAAATTAAACAACAGACATATGGTCTCTGGCTTTTCCTCAGCACTGCATATATATAGGCCTCTGTCTCTCACGGTCTCTCTGTCTCACACATACAATGGTTTACAATGGTCATCTCTGAGCTGATGTGTATAGCAAAGACAGCACAGATATATTTTAGGCCTGTTTTCACACCTCTGTGGTCAAAAGCTCATCTGACATCATTTCCTGTCTAGCCACTTCTTCACTGGTGAACTCCAGTGAACACTGCAGTCTCTGTACTGAAGGTTTAGTAGTAGGTTTAGAGGAAAACAGAGAGAGAGAGAGAGAGAGAGAGAGAGAGAGAGAATGGCAGAGGGAATCTATAATAATGTGAGCAGTGTTGAGCTGAGTGAAGCAGACAGAGGAGAGAGAGTGGAGAAGACGGTGGAGATTTATATGAGTGCAGACGCTGTTAGAGCTCAGGAGACCAACACACAGAGGGAGACAACAACTCAGCAGACAGGTAGAGTAACTCTCAGTGCAGAAGCTCTCAGTGTGTTCACAATGAAAACTGTGTTCACAACGAAAACTTCTTCTAAGTCAGTTCACTCTTTATCAGGTGTTAGAACCGGAATCAGATGTTCCAGACTGGCTGTGGTGTGTGTGGGGCTGCTGTGTGTTCTCCTGCTGACCACCAACATAGTGCTGTACATGTACTGTGAGTGTTTCTGTAATTCTTTCTGAATGTAGATATTAGAGACCAAACCATCATTGTAAACCTCACTGCAGGGAGAGAAACTCTCTTATCCAGTATCAGAAACCTGACTGAAGAAAGAGACCAGCTAAAGAGCAGCTACCAGAATCTGACTGAGGACGATCACATCTTACAGACCAAATATGATCATTTAGTGAAGCTGATTGGTGAGTGAAACATCATCCTCACAGTTAATCTGCACAAATATTAATTCATGCTTCTAAAATATGTTTGTTCTCATTGTTCTGTTGTAGAGAAAAGCTGGTTTATACAACTGAAGACTTTTGGAAGCAGCTTTTACTTTTTCTCCACTGAGAAGAAGAGCTGGAATGAGAGCAGACAGGACTGCAGAGAGAGAGGAGCAGATCTGGTGATCATAAACAGCAGAGAGGAGCAGGTGGGGGTTGATCTTTTTTTTTATTAATGATTATTATTTATTATTTATGTAATTTGTTTCACAGATGTTCCTCATTGACCAAAAGAAAGAGAGCAGTTTCTGGATTGGTCTGACTGATGAAGACACAGAAAACACATGGAAGTGGGTGGACGGTGAACCACTGATTAGTAGGTATGTCAAAATACAAAAAAAAGTAGTTGATGTCAATATTATACATACTTTTTAATACTTATGTGCATTATCTTGCTGTATTCTATTTATATTTAAAGTAAAGCTACGATTTACTCTCAGAGTTTATGAAGCTGTTCTTGTACAGCACTGACACTGTATGTACAGAGTAAAGACCCTCAGTAGCTGCTGTGAACTGGTTTAATTTGAGTTCTTGTTTTGTAAACATGTGATGATTACAGATTAATGCTGTGTCTGATCGTCAGATTCTGGAAGAAGGGTGAACCCAACAATGGTGGTGGTGGTGAGGAGGACTGTGCTGTTTTCACCACTACAGCTGAAGACGGTCAGGAAACATGGAACGATCTATCCTGCTCAGGGAGAGAAAACTGGATGTGTGAATTCAATCTGACAAACTTCCACCTGAATACTTCAACTAAACACCTTTAGATTTTCACTGCTAATATGGGCATAATCAGATACTTTGGAAGCTGTTGAACTGAATGTTATAGAATGCAGGGCTTTAATTCATAAATTTAGTTCTAAATAAGAGCCAACAGTCATTATACAGATGTTTTTTTGTTTTTTTTTTGCTTTTAGAAAATGTGTGCAATTACTCATTTAATTTTTTTGTTAGTTGTGATAGTGCTTTTAAAAACAAAAAAATCTCTTAACATTCAAAGCCTATTGTATGTAAAAATATTGCTGTTTTAAGATATAATGTGTGTGAGTGTGTGCAAATATTAAAAAAAAAACACTGCAGAAATAATAAAACAGAAAGCTGGTAATGCAGCACGTCTCCTTCTTTGATGAGGTTTTTAATACTGGACAAGAGGGTCTCCCTCTGTGCAGTAAAGTGGGACACAGAAGACATTGCACATGCAGGCAAGTGCTCTTTTATTGAACAGTTAGCAGGGGGGAACCACCACCTAACGCTGCTCAGTGAGAGGGCATAGTGGGATGGCTCACCAATAGCCATACAACTTCACTTTATGATGTACAGTACTACACTACATAACCCACACATAGTACAATAAAGCAGAAACAACATAGAACACCTTTTAAACTAGAAGGAGAACCTATTTACGATGGGGGTGTGGAAATTCCTGAGAGCCTCTTTGAATGGCCACGCCACTTGAGTTCCCATGGCAGTTTGTGTAGTAAAGAAGGCTGTGGTTTAGATATGGTATGTCACAAAGACAATGGTGGAGGGAATGTATGCTCGTGTGGGCAGCTTTAAGCTGTGTAAGATGGACAAAGAGGAGATGACAGTGGTCATTTATTTCAGTGAAGATGCTGTTGGAGCTCTGGATCCCAGCACAGAAACACAAGACATCAAACACACAGACGGAGACGAGGACACAGCAGAGTACAGGTAAAGTAACTCAAACAGAGACGTCTGCATTATTTCTAAGTGTGCTCACAATGAGAACTGAATGAATAAGTAAGTGAATGTTTTCTTTATCAGTTGTTAGAAGAGGAAGCAGAAGCTCCAGACTGGCTGTGGTGTGTGTGGGGCTGCTGTTTGTTCTCCTGCTGACCACCAACATAGTGCTGTACATGAACTGTGAGTATTTCAGTCTCAAACACAAATATTTCATCTTTCAAATACAGATCTGTGGAATACAAATGCTGTAATATAAGAAAGGTAATTCTTTTTAAATGTGGATATTAATATGAATAAACATTAGGACACAACCATCATTGCTTTGAATGTAAACCTCACTGCAGGGAGAGAGACCGTCTTATCCAGCATCAGAAACCTGACTGAAGAAAGAGACCAGCTAAAGAGCAGCTACCAGAATCTGACTGAGGAGAGAGAGCAGATAAACAACAAGTTGACTGAAGAAATAAACATCTTACAAACCAAATATGATCATTTAGTAAAGCTTGGTGAGTAAAACATCATTCTCACAGTTAATCTGCAAAAATACTAATTCATGCTTCTAATATATGTTTGTTCTCATTGCTCTGTTGTAGAGAAAAGCTGTTTTAAAGAATGGAAGAAGAACAGAAGCAGCTTTTACTTTTTCTCCTCTGAGAAGAAGAACTGGAGTGAGAGCAGACAGGACTGCAGGTGATCATAAACAGCAGAGTGGAACAGGTGAGAATATATCTATATATATATAGAGTGAGGGGAGACAGAGACAGAGAGAGAGAGAGAGAGAGAGAGAGAGAGAGAGAGAGACTTTTTTATTCTTGTTTTTTTTTCCAGATGTTCCTCGTTGACCAAAAGAAGGAGAGCAGTTTCTGGATTGGTCTGACTGATGAAGACACAGAAAACACATGGAAGTGGGTGGACGGCCAACCACTGACTGATGAGTATGTCATGACACAGAAAGTAGTTGATGTGAATATTATACATCATTTTTAATATTTCTATTCATTATCTTGTTGTGTTCCATTTATATTTAAAGTAAAACCACAATTTTCTCTCAGAGTTTATGAAGATGTTCTTCTACAGAACTGACACTGTATGTATATAGTAAAGACCCTTAATAGCTGCTGTGAACTGGTTTAATTTGAGTTCTTGTTTTGTAAACATGTGATGATGACAGATTAATGCTGTGTCTGATTGTCAGATTCTGGAGGCCAAATGAACCCAACAATGCTGGTGGTGAGGAGGACTGTGCCGTTTTCTCCATTGCAGACAGTGACGGTCAGCGAACATGGAACGATCTTTCCTGTTCAGGGAAAGAAAACTGGATGTGTGAATTCAATCTGACAAGCTTCCACCTGAATACTTCAACTAAACACCTTTAGATTTTCACTGCTAATCTTGGTATAAAGGCATAATCAGATAGTTTAGAAGCTGTTGAGCTGAATTTTATAGAATGCAGGGCTGGAGCCATTACACTTTAACTTAATTCATAATTTTAGTTCTAAATAAGAGCCAACAGATGTTATACAGAACATACAAATGTATGCAAATAATTATTTCATATTTTTTTGTTAATTGTTTATATTGCTTTTGAAAATCAAATGATATTGACTACATGAAGTAGACAAGATATTTACGTGATTCTATTAAGGTTTAAAGACATTACAATGTGAACAGACACTTTTATTATCAGTTGTAGAGTTTCTGCTGTTTTTACAAAGATGCTGTGCATTGATGAACCTCTGTTACCATGGAGACTGAAGGGGCGGAGCCTATACTACTATGATTTTCCATTGGCTGAATGTGCTGTAGTTCAAACTGAATATTTGTTTCAAGTGATCCTTGAGCTGTTGTACTCTGCAGAATTAGCCTGTAGGCCTTTGTCGGCCTTGCTTTGGTTTTCACACCTAAAAAGGTAATTCCGGGTTCTTCTGTAAGCATTTCCTGTCCTGACACTTCTGCATTAGTGCACCCCAGACACTGCAGTCTGTGTAGTGAAGAAGGTTGTAGTTTAGACACAGTACGTCACAATGAGAATGGTGGAGGGAATGTATGCTGGCGTGGGCAGCTTTAAGCTGAGTAAGATGGACACAGAGGAGATGACAGTGGTCATTTATTTCAGTGAAGATGCTGTTGGAGCTCAGGATACCAGCATAGAAACACAGGACATCAACACACAGACGGAGACAAGGACACAGCAGAGTACAGGTAGAGTAACTCAAACAGAGACGTCTATTTCTAAGTGTGCTCACAATGAGAACTGAATAAATAAGTAAGTGAACGTTTCCTTTATCAGTTGTTAGAAGAGGAAGCAGAAGCTCCAGACTGGCTGTGGTGTGTGTGGGGCTGCTGTGTGTTCTCCTGCTGACCACCAACATAGTGCTGTACATGTACTGTGAGTATTTCAGTCTCAAACACAAATATTTCAAATATCTTCCAAATACAGATATACAAAATGCATCCGCTGTAATATAAAAAGTGTTATTTTTTTCTGAATGTAGATATTAGAGACCAAACCATCACTGTAAACATCATTGCAGGGAGAGAGACCCTCTTATCCAGTATCAGAAACCTGACTGAAGAAAGAGACCAGCTAAAGAGCAGCTACCAGAATCTGACTGAGGAGAAAGAGCAGATAAACAACAAATTAACTGAAGAAATAAACATCTTACAAACCAAATATGATCATTTAGTGAAGCTGATTGGTGAGTGAAACATCATCCTCACATTAATCAGCACAAACATTCCTTCATGCTTCTAATATATGTTTGTTCTCATTGCTCTGTTGTAGAGAAAAGCTGGTTTAAAGAATGGAAGAAGAACAGAAGCAGCTTTTACTTTTTCTCCTCTGAGAATAAGAGTTGGAGTGAGAGCAGACAGGACTGCAGAGAGAGAGGAGCAGATCTGGTGATCATAAACAGCAGAGAGGAGCAGGTGAGGAGAGAGAGAGAGAGAGAGAGAGAGAGAGAGAGAGAGTTTGAGAGAGAGTTTTGTTACTTTCTTTTTTGTTTGTTTGTTTTTCAGATGTTCCTCATTGACCAAAGGAAAGAGAGCAGTTTCTGGATTGGTCTGACTGATGAAGACACAGAAAATACATGGAAGTGGCTGACAAGTACGTAAAAAAGCAAAACAGTAGTTAAAATCAATATAATACATTATTTTTTTATCTTTTCTATTTATTATCTTGTTGTTCTTCCATTTATATTTAAAGTAAAACTACCATTTTCTCTAAGAGTTTATGAAGCTGTTCTTGTACAGAACTGACACTGTATAGAGTAAAGACCCTCAGTAGCTGCTGTGAACTGGATTAATTTGAGTTCTTGTTTGTAAACGTGATGATTACAGATTAATGCTGTGTCTGATTGTCAGATTTTGGAGGAACAGTGAACCCAACAATGTTGGTGACGGGGAGGACTGTGCTATTTTCACCACTGCAGTCGAACACAGTCAGCGAACATGGAACGATTATTCCTGCTCAGGGACAGAAAACTGGATGTGTGAATTCAATCTGACAAAATTCCACATGAATACCTCAACTAAACACCTTTAGATTTTCACTGCTACTTTAGAAGCTGTTGAACTGATTTTTATAGAATGCAGGGCTTGAACACAAATCATACATTTAGTTCTAAATAAGTGCCAACAGCTGTTATAGAGATGTTTTTTTTTAGAGAAAATGTATGTGATTAATAATTTAATTTTTTTATTGGTAGTTGTTATATTGCTTTTTACAAAGTAATAAATCAAATGATATTGATTACATGAGGTAGACAAGTTGATTTACATGATTCCATTAAGGTTTAAAGACATTAGAAAATGAACAGACACTTTTATTAGCAGATGAGGCTGGATGTGGGGGTGTGTTCAACACAAGATATAGTTAGTTACATAAATACACTGTAGAAACTTTTTAAAACAGTCATAGATGGTTTTCACTTATATAAACAGTTTTCTCTAAGTTTGATATCTGAGTCAAAGGCTGTTCCATCCCAATATTTACTCCCTGATTAGTTAAGCAATGCAGCACAAACTAAAGTGATATGATGGTTTAAATTCTCTTTTCACATTCAAGGCCTACTATATGTAAAATATTGCAGTTTTAAGTTATAATGTGTGTGTGTGTGTGTAGATGTGAGGCAAATATTAAACAACGCTTGCAGAAAAAAAATAAAACAGAAAGCTGGTAATGCAGAAAGTCTTTCTTTGATCTCTTTTAATACTGGACAACGGCGTCTCCGTCTGTCCAGTGAATTGGGACGCAGAAGGTATTGCACAGGCAAGTGCTCTTTTATTATACAGGCAGCAAGGGGAGACCACCACCCAACGCTGCTGAATGAGAGGGTAAATACAACAATACTACATAACCCACACAGAGCACAATGAAGCACAAACAATAAAGGACACCTTCTAAACTAGAACAACAACAGTGGCAACAGTCAGGGTTGGGATAGATACTGAAAAATTAGTAGTTAGCTACGTTGTAGCTACTTTCCCAAAATTTGTAGTTAGCTACAATTTAGCTACTTTTCCAGAAAAAGTAGCGGCTACTTTTTAGCTACTTTCAAAGCGCAATTGTTAGAATGTTTGTGAATCTCCACCTGACACACCAAACAAGCCCAACTGACAGTGTGAACAAGACACTGCATTTAATCATGTGCGAGAAAGAAACATACAATTGAAAAGCTGCAAATATACAAAAAGATCTGTACGTGTACTGTGAGTGTTTCAGCCTCAAACACATATTTCCTCTTTCAAATACAGATATACAGAACACATATGCTATAATATAAAACTGTGATTCTTTAATATCTGAATATAGATATTAGAGACCAAACCATCATTGTAAACGTAACTGCAGGGAGAAAGACTCTCTTATCCAGTATCAGAAACCTGACTGAAGAAAGAGACCAGCTAAAGAGCAGCTACCAGAATCTGACTGAGGAGAAAGAGCAGATAAACAACACTTATAGAAACCTCACTGAGGAAAATCACATCTTACAAACCAAATATGATCATTTAGTGAAGCTGATTAGTGAGTGAAACATCATCCTCACAGTTCCTCAGCACAAATATTCCTTCATGCTTCTAAAATGTGTTTGTTCTCATTGTTATGCTGTAAAAGAAGGGAAGAAAAACAGAAGCAGCCTTTACTTTTTCTCCTCTGAGCAGAAGAGCTGAAGTGATGCCAGGCAGGACTGCAGAGAGAGAGAAGCAGATCTGGTGATCATAAACAGCAGAGAGCACTTTTTTTATTCTTGTTTTCCAGATGTTCCTCATTGATCAAAAGAAAGAGAGCAGTTTCTGGATTGGTCTGACTGATGCAGAGACAGAAAACACATGGAAGTGGGTGGATGGCCAACCGCTGACTGATGAGTACATCAAAATATAAAACAGTAGTTAAAGTCAATATAATCCATTTTTTTATCTTTTCTAGTCATTATCTCATTGTGTTCCATTTATATTTAAAGTAAAACTACCATTTTCTCTGAGAGTTCATGAAGGTGTTCTTGTACAGAACTGGCACTGTTTGTATAGAGTAAAGACCCTCAGTAGCTGCTGTGAACTGGTTTAATTTAAGTTCTTGTTTTGTAAACATGTGATGATGACAGATTAATGCTGTGTCTGATTGTCAGATTCGGGAGGAACAGTGAACCCAACAATGATGGTAACAGGGGGACTGTGCTGTTTTCACCTCTGCTCAGGGACAGAAAACTGGATGTGTGAATTCAATCTGACAAACTTCAACCTAATACTTCAACTAAACACCTTTAGATTTTCACTGCTAATCTTGGGATAAAGCTATAATTACATATGGATATTAAAATGTGCTGTAGGCTGGATGTGGGGTGTGCTCAACACAAGGCACAGTTAATTTCATAAAAACACTGTTGAAACTGTTTAAAACAATCAGAGGTTGTTTTCACCTGTATAACAGTTTGTTTCTAGCAGCCAAAGATCAAAATCCACAATGCCAAACGGTGTGGGGGTGGTTGGAGGGGTTGTTGTGTAAAGCACGCTGCCACTGGACTCTGGAGCAGTGGAAAAGCATTCTGTGGAGTGATGAATCACACATCTCTATCTGGCAGTCTGATGGATGACTCAGGGTTTGGCAAATGCCAGGAGAACATTACCTGCCTGACTGCATTGTGCCAGCTGTAAAGTTTGGTGGAGTAGGTATAATGCTATGGGGCCTCGACCCCTTAGTTCCAGTGAAGAGAAACCTTAATGTCTCAGCATACCAAAACATTTTGGACAACTGTACGCTTCCAACTTTGTGGAAAACAAAGAAGCTGCTGGTATTCTCAAAACAATGGACTGACCACCCCAGAGTCCAGACCTCAACATCACTGAATGTGTTTGGGATTACTTGGATGGTGAGAAGCAAAAAATGCAAGCAACTAAAATGTCCCTGCAGATTTCTGTGCAAAACTGAAAGCAACTCTCCTGAAAAGAATGGTAGCTGTAATTAAGGCAAAGAGTGGAATAAATAAATACTGCTTCTGTGCAATTTCCAGTTAATACACTATATTGCCAAAAGTATTTGCTCGTCTTCCTTCACATGCATATGAACTTGAGTGAGATCCCATTCTTAATCCATAGGGTTTAATATGATCTTGGACCACCCTTTGCAGCTATAACAGCTTCAACTCTTCTGGGAAGGCTTTCCACAAGGGTTAGGAGTGTTTATGGGAATTTTTGACCATTCTTCCAGAAGCGCATTTGTGAGGTCAGACACTGATGTTGGACGAGAACCCCCAAAGGTGTTCTATCGGGTTGAGGTCAGGACTCAGGCCAGTCAAGTTCTTCCACACCAAACTCGCTCATCCATGTCTTTATGGACCTTGCTTTGTGCACTGGTGCGCAGTCATGTTGGAACAGGAAGGGGCCATCCCCAAACTGTTTCCACAAAGTTGGGAGCTTGAAATTGTCCAAAATCTCTTGGTCTGCTGAAGCATTAAGAGTTCCTTTCACTGGAACTAAGGGGCCGAGCACAACTCCTGAAAAACAACCCCACACCATAATCCCCCCTCCACTAAACTTTACACTTGGCACAATGCAGTCAGACAAGCACCGTTCTCCTGGCAACCACCAAACCCAGACTCGTCCATCGGAGTGCCAGACGGAGAAGCGTGATTCGTCACTCCAGAGAACACGTCTCCGCTGCTATAGAGTCCAGTGGCGGCGTTTTACACCACTGCATTCGACGC